CAAATTAATTGCAAGTCACGATTGCTGTGTTTTGTTCATTTTTCTTTCCGCGAAATTTCACCATCCATATGCATGCAACGTGTGCGAGTGAATAAGATATTATAAAGCAGTTCAAAAATTATAAGATGTTGTTTCATTCTAAGATTTTTTCATAGGGAATTCTCACATGTACTATTTATGTATTAGTGACAATCGAAAATTTCTGTGAATGTGTTCTAGTTTCGGTCATTCGAGTTTTGCAGGGTATCTATCGTAATAAGATGTGTTGTATCTTTTTTGTTTTTAGGCGGTTTTGCTGGAATAGGGATGTGAGCGTCGTGTAGCATTTCTTTTTAAACTGCATGTTTTGCGTATGGGTGCGCGATCGTTTTTTATTCTGTCGAGGAAATTCCAGATGATGTGGAGTGGATGCTCATAATTGATAATGGATTTCGTGGCTAGATTTGAGTTTTTAAACCGCAGACTTTGAAAATCTGTGATTCGCGCTTCTATTTTGAGCGTGGGTATGGGAGTTGTTTTAAGTAGTCCAGAAGCTGTTCTGTAGCATTTATATAGTTCGGTGTTAAGTGTTTTGATATTTTTGTTGGATGTCCAGCCGGAGTGTGAGGTAGTGTTGTAAAATACCTTCAGTGAGTGTACGACAAATAGCAATTGCGGTGTCTATGAGTGGGCCTTTTCGTTTAGGGCACATGACTTTGAGTAAATTGTTGACTTTCTTAAGCTGGTCTTTTTGGACACTAATATAATTGTTCCACAACATATTTTTTGAAAACTGTACTCCTAGTATTCTCAAGCTATTTTGTAAAGGTATTCTTCGTCCCCGAATAAGGACTGAACTGACATTGCAATTATTTTTTCCGGCAAACATAGAGGGCTGTTGTTGCTTCGATGGGTACTGAGGAGCATGTGCCCATGGCCCAATTATTTATATTTTCGTCAAATTTTTGAAGACTTTGCACGACCTCTTCATGTGTTCCAGACGCAGCTGCAAAGATATTGTCTGCCTATATACCTATATACGAAATACCTTGCACATTCTTTATCTGCTTTAGTAAGGAATTAGCGTAAAAGGTATAACGTACTTGTTGACGACGACTGAATACATTTACACTGGATTTAAAATACAAAATTTGGTATTTATTGCGATTTCCAATCTTAGTGAAACGTAAGGTATAAATGTAGGACAATGTTAAAGTTGCTGCTTGCTTGCTTATTGGCCGGTTAGTTGGTTTGTTTGCCGGTTTGCTTGTATGTTTCAAAATTGGTGTTCTTGTTCGAGCGTCTTCTTCGGCTTTTAGATTGGAAATGCGATGAGTATGAGAAATTGCGGGATATTTGAACATATAAAATGGAAAATGTGCATAAAGAAAATGTGGTACAAAGAATACAAGAATACAAAGTAAAAACATGATGACAGGGTTGCCGTAAGCTTTGGTGAATATTAGGCTGGGCTGGTGTTATAAATCGACAGTACTACTGAAAGAGGCGAACCCTGTGAACCTCCGTTTTCTAGTTTCCTTTCCCTTGAAAGGTATCCGTCGACTCTGGCTGTAGTCCTTCGATACGAGAGGAAGGAGAGAGAGAGCTTAAGGATGCTCATGGGTAGTCCACATTAATGCATTTCTTTTATTACTTCCGTAGATACTACTCTATCGTATGCTTTTGCCAGGTCTGCAGAAAAAACGACCGTATGTTCTCTGCTTAAGTACTTCAGTTGTCTTTCTAAAGTATGTGTTAAAGTGTATACTCCATGTTTGGGTATGAACGCTTGTTGTTCTGCTTCCAGCTCATTGCTGAAGCTCTTCCATATTCTGTTGGCTAGAATTTTGTCAAATGTTTTCGCTAATGTGGGCAAGAGGGATAAGGGACGATATCCTTCAAGAGAGTTTGGGTTTTTCCGGGTTTGCATGCTTCCATCCATGTGGATATACTCCTGTATCTAAAATTCTACTAAATAGACTGCATATACGGATTTTAGGGTGATGGATGCGTTCTTTAACATTGAATAGGTTATTTTGTCATGGCTGGGAGTGGTTCCTTCAGAAGTTTTGAGAGCTGCCTCAAGTTCTTGGAGCGGACTATTTTGGGTTACTTGCTTCGACTGTGGTGGTTGTGGTAGATTCTCAACAATCAAGTAATTTTTTTGGTCAATGATAGTTGACTCAAACGACTCATTCGAGCTCGCTGCGCTCCAATGTGCTCCTAGGGTTTCAGCAATCTGTTCTGGGTGTTTCAGTACAGCATTGGCAGTTAGTATCTGTGGGAAACAGAAGAAACGTTGGCATTTGATCTTATGCCAAAGGTGCTTTGGGTCGTATGGGATTAAGCGAGTTTAGAAACCCATTCCATGAATCCTGTTTGGCTTGTTTACATGCTTTTCGTACCGCCGCATATGATTTCCCTATTGTTTGCTGTTTGGTTCTTTTTAAACCGTTTCCATCAATCGTTTTTGACTTTTATAAGATTTGCAATCTGACTGTTGAACCAGACTGGGCTATTGTGTTTAGGTGCTGAAAAGGTGGTGGGCATGGCTTCGTGGGCATGGCTTCGTTTGCAGCTTTCCTCAAAACTTTTTTTTTTATTTGGGCGGCTTCCCTGTTGACGTTAACTGACTGAGTGAAATTTTGTGAGTAGACGTTAGTTTTAATTGTAAATAGAGGCCAATTTACCTTGTTCGTATTAAACCTGGGGTTGATTCTGCTGTTGATGCATGTTGTTGAAAATTAGGATTGGAAAATGATCGCTAGACCCTGACGGAGGAAGACAAATTCATGTCAGAACCAGAGCTATAACTCCGCATGTCATTGAGACGTAAACATTTGTTAAAGTATTTCTCGCGTTAGCAGTAGGGGAGACCCGTGGTTGAGTATTACAAATTGTTTATCGTTTGCAAAGTCTTCCCATCATTTTCCGTTCTGATTTGTTTTCTTTGCACCCCAAAATGTGTTATGTGCGTTTAAGTCACCACCCAGTAAATGATATCCGTTGTGGTAGGTGTGTATGGCGTCCAGGTGTTGAGCTGTAAAATATAAGTCTTTCTCGCGGTATATGTTGGTTATGTGCAGGTCTTTTAACGCGTGTATGGTGATACATTGAAAGAGAAGATTATTGTTAGATAGTTTGTAATTAGAAGTATTCAAAGTTTCATTTACGAGGATTGCAACACCCGCTTTGGAATATGAGTAAGTTTCCACATCTTTATAATGTGGAAGATGTAAAAGGTGTTTATTTTTGAAGTGAAACTTCTTTAGCGGCGGTTGGTTGGTTGGGAGTAAATTGGCAAATTCAACGGAAATTGCACATGGAAATGGTGCAACGGAAATGGTTAGGGCTGAAACAAGTGCTTCTTGAGTGTATGCACATGGTATTAACTTAACAAAAACTTGCTAATAAAAAGTTAAAGAATAACACTTAGAAAAACCCCAATACAAGAATGGAAGTAAAGGTGAGTACTTACATACATAGATAAAGAAAAGGATAAAGGCAAAGGTAAAAATAAAAACGTAAACAAAGATGCGTAAAGATAAAGGCAAAAACGAAGGCCAAGGTAAATTTAAACACTTTACTTATAAGTATAATGGCAAAGGTGAAGGGGAATATCCCCGCAAACATATTCGGAGCACTCAGAATTTTTGAGTCCGAAAAGAGTTCTACTATGTAAGAAATATGAGTATCAAAATAACAAAATATTTTCAACTCATATAGGCCACATATATGAACCAAATCATGAGCCGGCACTTTGTGGAAATAAAAAAACATTAAATATTTGCAATTTGTATCGAAAATTTTGTTATAAATTTTTTGTCAACATAGGCATATGAAATTAGACTTTTCTGAACCGAAATCTTTTTGATTGGCATCCCCGAGTGCGGAAAATTTGTGAGAGCTGTTTGGAAACGTTTAGTCATCGATGAAGTTGCTTGCCAAACATGGAAAAATGTTGATAATAAAATTTCGCTTTAAAATTTAGCCATAACTGCTGCGTTTAAAGGTATTTCTCTTCAGAAATGATGTGTTGTTGTTTTAATTTAGGTATTTTGTATTATATCTTTATAGAAGCCTATTGCAGAAAATTTTCTAACAAAGCGGATTTTAAGAAATTTACAACAAAATGGTTTCAAACTGCACGGGACCGTGTTAACTATAAAGCAAAACAAATCAAACTATAAATTCATTAATAGCAACGTGCGCATTAGTATACATACATATAGTATTATACAACACACAGCAAGCACATATGTAGATAATAAAGCTGTTTATTGAAAATAACTTTTTTAGAGCTTTTAATTAGGTAAAGTTGTAATTGTGATATATGTATTTACTCGTGAGTAAACGTAGTGTTAACTTGAACTATAACTTAAACTATGTAAACAGATCATTAGGTTTTATTCCTAGGGTATGTCTATCTGGCAACGCCCTAACTAATGTCAATAAGAAATAAAAGAATAATAAATACTCTCTTCCGGTTGGGCACTTATACGACGACGACGTGTTTTATTTGCTATACAAGAAACGATATCGAAGAATATCACAGTGGCGACGAAGTAAAAACTATTGTATCAATTTTTAAACGGGAAGCAAGTGATTTGGCAACTGGTGAAAACAATATCTTTGTGATATGGCGACCAGTAACTCAACACCGTGTAATTTTAAGGCTCCATATTTTGACCACGAAAAAAACTCATGGTTCGTGTTCGAAAAGCAATTATTGCAATTCTTCATTGCTAGTGGCATCACGGAAGAAAATAAGAAGAAGGCGATTTTGTTAACGTCGTTATCCGAAAGTGCGTATACCTTGCTGGACAATTTAATACGTCCGGAAGTGCTGGAAAACGCTAACACTACCTTGGACAGTTGCCTCGATAGATTGCGAAACCATTTTCGGCCAACAACATCTGCGTTTGTGGAGCGTTACAAATTTTATAACGCTACAAAAGCTTCAACAGAATCCGTAAATGATTGGGCAGCTAGAGTAAGAGCGTTAGCAGTAAAATGTGAATTTGGTGATAGCCTCAATATGGTGCTGCGAGACAAATTTGTTATGGGTCTGGAAAAGGGTCCAGCCAGAGACAAAATTTTTTTGGAAAACATTGCAGCAAGTTTCGACAAGGTGGTGGAGATAGCAAACACAGCGGAATATATTAAACAACAGCAAGGCGACAGCGTACAAATAAAGCAGGAAGAGCTGAACTTCTTAAAAAAGAACCAGAAGTCGCAAGGCGAGCGAAATAGGCAGCAGAATGTTAAGCAGATGTCACATCAAGGGTATCGGAAACAGAGAGAGCAACAATGCGAAGTATGCGGTTACACTAACCACAGCAGAAACGAATGTAAGTTTAAGAATTATAAATGCAATAATTGTAAAAAAAGAGGACACTTAAAAAAAATGTGTAAGGATAAAAAAGATGGGTTTAATTTTTTAAATAATTCAAGTGAGTTAAGCTTATTTTCAATTAATAGTTCTAAAGATAAACCGATTACTGTAAATATTTTTGTTGATGGCAAAGCATTTGATATGCAGCTAGACACAGGTTCAGAAAACAATGTCATGGCAGAGGAAACTTACAAAACTCACTTTAGCAAGTATAAGTTGCGAGAGATAACAACCTTGTTGAGGGCATACAATGGTGGTAGCATTATTCCGCTGGGGGTGTTTGATGTGAATATACGTTTCAAAGAGCAACATAAGAATATTTCATTTTTGGTAATTAAATCGGGAGGCCCTCCACTGCTGGGTCGGAAGTTCTTGAATCGTTTCCATATTGAATTTTCCAATTTAAATTTTGCTAAACAAATTCAAGGTGACAACCGGGTCTTACAAAAATTTGTTAAAATGTTCGATGGGTCGTTGGGGTTATTCAAAAGGACTAAAGCACACTTACATGTAAAGGAGGGAACAGAACCAAAATTTTTTAGGCCGCGACCTTTACCTTTAGCTATTAAAGAAAAAGTTGAAAAAGAAATAGACAATTTAGTAGCATTGAAAGTTTTACAGCCGGTGGACTATTGTGAATGGGGGACGCCGATTGTTCCCGTTCAAAAGAAAGATGGCGGAATACGCATATGTGGTGATTTTAAGGTGACCTTAAACCCACATCTACATATTGAAAAGTATCCTTTACCAAGAATTGAAGAAATCTTTGCAAAGATGCATGGCGGGGTAAAGTTTGTGAAACTAGATTTAAGTACAGCTTATCAGCAAATCGAGTTGGATGAGCAATCGCGTAAACTCACAACAATTTCTACATCAAAGGGCCTTTTTCAGTATACAAGGCTTATATATGGTTTGGCATCGGCGCCCGCAATTTTTCAAAGAGTTATGGACACGCTGTTAATGGGCATCGATGGGGTAGTAGTATTCCTCGATGATATACTCATAACAGCATCGTGCGAGAAGTTACTCACGCAAAGGTTAGAAGCCGTGTTAACTTTATTAAGTGATGCGGGTTTTAGGTTGTCCAAAAAGAAATGTGAATTTTTTGTAGATGAAATAAAATATTTAGGGCATATTATTAACAAAGATGGCTTACATATGGATCCGGACAAAGTAAAAGACATTCGTAGTATTAAGGAGCCATCAAATGTAAAAGAACTGCAAGCGTTGTTGGGGGTGATAAACTTTTATAGACGATTTTTACCTAATTTATCGACATTGCTTTACCCACTCTATCAGTTGTTGCAAGCGAATAAAAAATTCGAATGGTCGAAAGAATGTGCGGAATCAATTTCGAAACTTAAATGCTTATTGGCATCTGATGAATGTTTAGCACATTTTAACCCAGAAAATAAGATAAAGTTAACTGTAGATGCAAGTCCGGTCGGAGTAGGGGCGGTTTTAACGCAAGTGGATGCAACTGGAACTGAAAAACCAATTGAGTTTGCTTCAAGGACACTGTCGGATACGGAAAAAAGGTATTCGCAACTTGACAGAGAGGCGGTAGCGATACTGTTTGGGGTAAAAAAGTTTCATCAGTATATTTTTGGGCGGCAGTTCACTTTGGTCACAGACAATAAGCCTTTACAATACATTTTTAGTCCAAAAAAAGGAATACCGGAAATGGCGTCGAATAGATTGCAACGTATTGCTCTTATGTTATCAGGTTATCGCTTCGACATTGAATACGTTAAGTCCAAAAGCAACATAGCGGATTATTTTTCGAGATATCCAAACGGCAGTAGTGAGGATCAAATGATTTTTCTGGAGGGTATCTATTTAAACTATGTTCAGCAGCTTGTCGAACGAAACGATTTGATTAACCTAGAAATCATTAAAACAGAAACAGAAAACGATGAGGTTCTACAACGGGTAAGGCAATTTCAACAAGACGGGTGGCCAGAAAAATGTAATTATCCAGACTTGTTGCCGTACTTTAGGAAAAGGTTGGAATTATGCGAGGAATCGGGTTGTTTATTTTGGGGTTTTAGGGTTATAGTCCCAAAGGCCTTGCAAGCTAAAGTTGTAGAATTTTTGCATGCGACACACTTGGGAATTGTTAAAATGAAATGCATGGCCAGAGAGTGTTGTTGGTGGCCGACACAGGGCAACGATTTAGAGAGGGTAGTAAAAAGTTGTGAGCCATGTTTACTTAACCGCCCGGATCCACCAAAACAAGAACTTCTGCCCTGGAAGCGTTCCGAGGAAGTCTGGTCGCGAATTCATATAGATTTTTTTGGACCGTTCAAAAACCGCTGGTGCTTAATCATTGTGGATAGCACGAGCAAATGGGTGGAATGTGTAGATATGGGAACAAATATAACCAGTCGTGCTGTTACATCAGTGTTAAGAGAAATGTTCGCACGTTTTGGGTTACCGAAATGTGTAGTTTCGGACAATGGCACGTCTTTTATATCGAGCGAGTTCACCAATTTTTTAAAGCAAAACGGCATTAAACACGTTACGTCTCCAGTGGGACATCCACCCACAAACGGACAGGCGGAAAATGCAGTCAAGACAGTTAAATCTGCACTGAAGCGAAATTTATTCAACATACCATTGTCTGACTTCAACAAGGTTCTTAATAATTTTTTATTGGATTATCGAAACACCGTACATTCAAGTACGGGCGTCTCTCCAGCTTATATCTTATTTAATAGAAGACAATTACGATGTAGGTTAGACTTACTTAATGATAAACGAAATGTTGTTAACTTAAGCAATAGTGAAATCACAGCTTTTGTTAATAATAAGCAAAATGAACAGAAAAAGCATTATAAAGGAGGAAAAAACAATAATTTTAACGTTCACGATGCGGTGATAGTTAAAGATTATTCCGTCCCCGGAAAAGTAACATGGACAAAAGCTGTGATTTCCAAAAGGATCGGAAAGCAAACATATATTGTTAAAACAGACCATAATAAATCTTGGAAAAGACATGCAAATCAAATTATTTTAAGCCAAAAAGAATCGCGGAACACACTATTAGATGATCCGCTAACACCCTTAACTAGTTTAAGTGATGAAAACAAAGCGGTTTTAGCGAATACAAATAGTAGTATGACCGACGACACTAATTGTAATGAAGACACCCTAGCATCGGGTAACTCAAGGCCTACAGCTCCCTATAATTTAAGACCAAGAAAATAAAATATTGAAGTAACTTATTACAGTAACTAAATTCTTTTTATAAAAATAGGTAAATATGTATACAATGAAAACTAAGAGGGGGGTATTGTGATATATGTATTTACTCGTGTGTAAACGTAGTGTTAACTTGAACTATAACTTAAACTATGTAAACAGATCATTAGGTTTTATTCCTAGGGTATGTCTATCTGGCAACGCCCTAACTAATGTCAATAAGAAATAAAAGAATAATAAATACTCTCTTCCGGTTGGGCACTTATACGACGACGACGTGTTTTATTTGCTATACAAGAAACGATATCGAAGAATATCACAGTAATAAATTTGCAAAGTTAGGTAAAGTTGCAATAAGAGTCATAAAAGAGTCTTGAGTAAGAGTCCGAAATGAGCCGTATATAATAACAGTAAGAGTCAAATATGGCTCATATTGACGCTCATTTGATGTATGAATTTAAGCTCATATATGCCGACCTTTGCAGGAAGGGAAACACCCTCATTCCGGACTCTTAAATGAGCTCATTATGAGCGTAAATGCTCCGAAATAGGACTCCTTTAAGACTCATTTATGACTCCAAATGTTTGTTGGGATGTAGATGAAGAAAATAATAAAAATAAAAGTAAAAACATAGATAAATATAAAGAAAAAGATGAGGATGAGGATACCGATTAAAGTAAAGACGAAGATAGAGGAAGAAAGATTAAAATAAAGGTAATTATAGAGAAGAGGATATAGATAGAGACGCAGACTCAATCTGGGACCTATTTTGGGATTTTAGAGATTTTCGGGATTCTCAGGACTTATCGATATAATAACCGATATTTTATCGGTTTCGTTGTCGATAGTTTTATCGATGTTATCGAAATTTTTATCGATATTGTAATCGATTTTGCTTTCGATATTTTCAGAACTTATAGTTATAATAATCAATATTTTTACCGATTTTGTTATCGATTGTTTATCGATTTTGTTATCGATTATTTATAAATTTTGTTATCGATATTTTTATCGATTTTCTAATCGACTATTTATTGATTTTGCTATCGAAATGTTTGTCGCATTTGGGATCGATTTTGTTATTGCTATTTTATCGATTTTGTTATCTTTTTTATCGATTATTTATAGATTTTGTTATCATTTTTGTTATCGATAATTTATCGATTTTATTATCGGTACTTTTATTGAGCTAGTTATTGACATTTTTATCGAGTTTATAATCGATATTTTTATCGATTTTCTAATCGATTTGGTGTTAGATTATTCAGGGATTTCGTTATCGATATTTTTATCGATTTTCTAATCGATTTGGCTACCAAAATTATTATCGACTTCGCTATCGAAATTTATATCGAATTTGTAATCCATTTTGTTATCGATATTTTTATCGGTTTTGTTATCGATATTTTGTTGGATGTTACTATCGTTTTTGTTATCGATAGAGTAAAAATATAAAAATAGTGATAAAGAAAAACAGAATAACATAAATGTAATTAGAACGAACAGGGGTAGCTGTAGGGATGTAGATAGAAAAAAATACAAAAAATATAACCTTAAGCAAAAGCAGATGTATGTAGGCATGTACATACATGTATGTATGTACGTATATTGGTTATGAGACAAAATATATATGTGACGTAAGTTTCACTTCTCCAGTGCGGCCCAGGCGCACTTATTTTTTTCTATTATGTGAGTTTCTTGTAATATAATAATGTCACTCTAGTCCAAACTTATTGTTTAGAAACCCCTGTATATTCCGTTGAAGAATTATGAGGCTGATACCTAAATCCATATTTATTTTTTATTTTTTGATTGTTTGATTGAATTTTATAAAGAACGATATAAACATAGTGCAGCGAATTAAAATTCAGAGGCTCCACTGGCTTGGCCATGTCGTTCGAATGGACAGAAACGCTCCTGCTCTGATAATATTCTACGCGGGCCGCAATGCTGGTAACAGAGGAAGAGGAAGGCCTCCTCTGCGTTGGAAAGACCAGGTGGAGAAGGACTTGGCTTCACTTGGCATTTCCAATTGGCGTCAGTTAGCACAGAAGAGAAATGACTGGCGTGCTGTTTTGGACTCGGCCAAAATCGCTTAGGCGGTTACAGCGCCAATAAGTAAGAAGAAGAAGATGGAATATCAGCTGTAAAAGAGGACCAGAAAAAAAACAGCTGATTGCTCTTTGTTCAATAAACATACCTCCAAGTCAAAATTGAACATATCTAGCAGGGTTGCATAGAGAATCTGACACAAATTGATTGCCAATTAATTATTAATTGGCAATTAATAATTTGAATTTTCGTATGATAAATTGTGTGACAATTAAGGCCTAAATTGGTGAAAAGGTTCTTAATTGCCAATAAGGTGCCTGTTCGAACATAGTCTTAGTTGTCTATAATTTAGGCTCTTCTTCGGAGTCTGATACAGACATAAAATATTTGTCTGCTGATAGCAGTTGCTGAGTTATATTGCTGAGTGGAGTGCGCTAGTATTGGTTTGTGTGTTGATTGGTGCTTTGCTAAGTTTGGTAGTATCCATTCAAGTGAGGGGTTCGTTGTTGTTTTCTTAATGATGTTGTTTGCATTTTTGTTCATATTGTTAGTAACTAGGGTAGTTGTCTTTTGACGAGCGGTGACGTTGTCGGTTGTGCTTTTGTTTAGAGACGTGAGTTTTTGGTATTTTGGTTGTTGTTGTTGTTGTTGTAGCCCGTTCGGGTCGGTTCATCCATCAACGTTGTCGTCAATTTCAGCTAGGGGGAGGCCCAGGAAGTGTGCGACTTCCACAAGGGCTGTCCATAGGGACAGGTGCGTCAGCTGAGTGGGGTTCTCAGGGCATGTGAAGAGGTGGTATGAGTCATGTGGCGACTCTCCACATGCCGGTCATTGGTTGGGCACATCCTCGTTGATTCTGCTTAAGTAAGTCATTCCCACGACAGCCGGTTCTACGTACCGGAATGACTCGGGTTTTACCCGACTAAGAGCTGTTGTTTCGGCGATCTAACCCCGTTTAGGTCGGCGAAATCCATCAAACTTTGCTCGATTCTAGGGCTACATCTTCTCCGTACCCTTCTGCTCAGGGCTGGAATAGAGTCTAACCCAGGGCCAGAAATTTACACCTGCTGCGTATGCCAGAGACGACTGCATACAAACTCCACCTCGGTCAGGTGCAATGCCTGTGACGGGTGGAGTCACCTCCGTAACTGCTCGGACCTACGTACGCACCGGCAATGGACCACGTCGTTCATGGCCCCATGCTGTGCGAACCGGACCGCCTCCACGGCAAACCACCATCCGCCTGGGCAGCACACAATCAACACACCCACACCCCAACACAACACAGCAATAGACACACAAACAAACACAATAGCACCTACACGCCGCCGCCGGCACCTCCTAGTCCATCCGACAATCTTCTCTGTTTGTCAGTCCAGAATATACCGTATCGTGACATCAGTCAAGTGCAACTCCTGTGTGTGAGTGATTATGTGGACCCCTGCTGTGCTGCCCAGTCGCATCCCTCCCCCGCGACGCCGCCAACCACCACCACAAGGCCGGCAGGCAACACAACTCTTTAACACCACACATCACAATCGGTCCCAAGGCACACAAAGGTGCTACAATTTAACTGTAACGGACTCCAGAGCAAGATCGAGGAGATAACTGGTATTTTGGTCGTGTTGGTTTTTGTTGGTGAAGCAGATCGTTTGAAATTCTTGTTGTTGGCGTATTTGATTTGTAAGTGGCTGATCGGCAGAAGTTGGAATAGTGTACAAACACTGCTTGAGGTTCTTGAGGTTTTGTACGATTTAAACGTTCGCTATATTTGCGGCGGGCTTTTAAGATTTCTTTGGTTTGCTTATATCTACTGCAGTCTCTGTCCGAAGAGAAGTGATCTTCGCCACAGTTAGCGCACTGTTTACGTGTACATTCTGTTGGGGAATGGGGTGGTAAGTTGCATCCATCGCATGTGCTAGGGTTAGTGCATCGGTTTTTTGTGTGGCCAAGAAGTTGGCAATTCTTGCAACGCATCGGGTTTGGGTAATAAGGGGAAACTTTGACCTTGTATCATGCTACGTCCAGTTTTTGGAAGATGGTATAAGTCGAAATTGCTTGCCATTTCTCCAGTGGGCATTGTTTTACCATCGAGTGTACGAGTGAATTTGTAAATGCCTTTTACTCCCGGCCTTTTTAATTCTTCAATGATCTCTTCGTCTTTTACGAAGTTGAGGCATGGGGCATAAATCATACCTTTTACCGTGTTAAGGTTTTCTTGCAACTTGACCGTAATAGGGCACACGTTTGATAGTTTTTGTTTTCAAAATTAATTTAGGTGTTTCATTGGTTTCCGAGAAATTCGCAAAAATCTTTAAATTTAGGTTTTAAATTTTCCAAATATATGTCGGAATTAGGTGTCTTTTAGGTGTTCTTCAACGCCACAAAAACTAATTTAGTGGCTCTATTGGTTTCCGAGAAATTCGCAAAAATGTGTTTTCAGCTGTTAACCAAGCTGAACAATCTTTAAATTTTTGTTTTAAATTTTCGAAATTCATATATGCAGGAATTAGGTGTCTTTTAGGTGTTCTTCAACGCCACAAAAACTAATTTAGTGGCTCTATTGGTTTCCGAGAAATTCGCAAAAATGTGTTTTCAGCTGTTAACCAAGCTGAACAATCTTTAAATTTTTGTTTTAAATTTTCGAAATTCATATATGCAGGAATTAGGTGTCTTTGAGGTGTTCTTCAACGCCACTAAAACTAATTTAGTAGCTCCATTAGTTTCCGAGAATTTCGCAAAAATGTGTGAATCATCTAGGTTTACGTAAACCTAGCTGACCCATCTTTAATTTTAGGTTTTAAATTTTCCAAATATATGCTGGAATTAGGTGTATTTTAGGTATTCTGCAACGCCACAAAAACTAATTTAGTAGCTCCATTGGTTTCCGAGAAATTCGCAAAAATGTGTTTTTCAGCTAGCTCAGCGCTGTTAAGCTAGCTGAACAATCTTAAATTTTTTTTTTTTAATTTTCGAGATACATATATGCAGGAATTAGGTGTCTTTTAGGTGTTCTTCAACGCCACTAAAACTAATTTAGTAGCTCCATTAGTTTCCGAGAATTTCGCAAAAATGTGTGAATCATCTAGGTTTACGTAAACCTAGCTGACCCATCTTTAATTTTAGGTTTTAAATTTTCCAAATATATGCTGGAATTAGGTGTATTTTAGGTATTCTGCAACGCCACAAAAACTAATTTAGTAGCTCCATTCCTAGAAATTCGCAAAAATGTTTACGTAAACCTAGCTGACCCATCTTTAAATTTAGGTTTTAAATTTTCCAAATATATGCTGGAATTAGGTGTCTTTTAGGTGTTCTTCAACGCCACTAAAACTAATTTAGTAGCTCCATTCCTAGAAATTCGCAAAAATGTTTACGTAAACCTAGCTGACCCATCTTTAAATTTAGGTTTTAAATTTTCCAAATATATGCTGGAATTAGGTGTCTTTTAGGTTTTCTTCAACGCCACTAAATCTAATTTAGTAGCTCCATTGGTTTCCGAGAATTTCGGAAAAATCCTTAAATTTAGGTTTTAAATTTTCCAAATATTTGCTGGAACTAGGTCTATTTTAGGTGTTCTTCAACGCCAGTAAAACTAATTTAGTAACTCCATTGGTTTCCGAGAAATTTGCAAAAATGTGTTTTTCAGCTAGCTTAGCGCTACATGAATCAAAGCGTTCAACATTGTAAGGCGCTTGCCGTTTCGAAATCGTCCTTTGTTCACTTTTTTGTGTTGAAAATAAAAATTATTTGACATTTCAATAAGAAATAATTAAAAATAAATGATTTTGTAATAAATGAAATTTGGTATGTGTATTTATTGTGTCACCTCGGTAAAAGTTTTTTAAGTGGGATGGATAACTAACTATCAAAGCTAGCTGACCAATACATTTTTGCGAATTTCTCGGAAACCAATAGAGCAACTAAATTAGTTTTAGTGGCGTTGAAGAACACCTAAAAGACACCTAATTCCCGCATATATGTGTTTCGAAAATTTAAAACAAAAATTTAAACATTGTTCAGCTAGGTTAACAGGGCTTAGCTAGCCGAAAAACAAATTTTTGCGAATTTCTCAAAAACCAATGGAGGTACTAAATTAGTTTTAATGGCGTTGAAGAACACCTAAAAGACACCTAAATCCAGCATATACATATTTGGAAAATTTAATACCTAAATTTAATGATTGGTCAGCTAGGTTTACGTAAACATTTTTGCGAATTAACAGCGCTAAACTGAAAAACACATTTTTCCGAATTTCTCGAAAAGCAATGGAGCTACTAAATTAGTTTTAGTGGCGTTGAAGAACAGCTAAAAACACCTAGTTCCAGCATGTATTTGGAAAATTTAAAACTTATATTTAAAGATTTTTGCGAATTTTTCGTAAACCAATCGAGCTACTAAACTAGTTTTAGTGGCGTTGAAGAACACCTAAAAGACACAAAAAAAGAACAAAAATTTAAAGATTGTTCAGCTAGGTTAACAGCGCCAAGCTAGCTGAAAAACACATTTTTGCGAATTTGTCGAAAAGCAATGGAGCTAATAAATTAGTTTTCGTGGCGTTGAAAAACACCTAAAAGACACCTAATTCCAGCATATATTTGGAAAATTTAAACCCTAAATTTAAAGATGGCTCAGCTAGGTTTACGTAAACCTAGCTGACCCACACATTTTTGGGAATTTCTCGGAAACCAATGGAGCTACTAAATTAGTTTTAATGGCGTTGAAGAACACCTAAAAGACACCTAATTCTAGCATATATTTGGAAAATTTAAAACCTAAATTTTAAGATTGTTCAGCTAGGTTACCAGCGCTAAGCTAGCTGAAAACACACATTTTTGCGAATTTCTCGGAAACCAATGGAGCTA